GAAACCTCGCGGGTGGCTCCTGCACGCAGGACGCGGGGTCCGGGGGGAGCGGGGTGCCGGGGTCCCCCCGTGCCCGGGGACCGGCGCTGCCCGTGGGCCGCCGCGCCGTGCATCCTCCCGGCGCGTGTGCCTGCTCTCGGGGAGACGGGGAGCTTCGGGCTGAGAGGCCACAGGTCCCTCTCCCGGCCCCGGGGGCTGTTTTAATGCGAAGCGCTCAGCGGGCAAAGCCCCCCAGCCTCTGCCCCTCTCCGAGGCTCCGTGGGCAGCGTGTCCCTGCCACGGGGGAACCCGTCGCACCAGGCGTTTTTATAGGCGAGCCCCACCACCGGTGCCAGCCCTTCTCCTCCGAACAGCAGAGCGGGGCGAGGTGTGCTGCTCCTGCTGCCCCACCGCAGCTCGTCCCTCCGTCCCTCAGGGACTGCGCCCCACGGCCTGCCACGGCTGCCCCACGGCCGGGCCGGACTCCCGCCTGCCTGCCCTCACCGCTTCACCCCGTTGCTTCACTCCTGCAGCAGCGCCCGGCCGGAGGGGCCACGGCAGCGGGCGCTCTCCTGCAGCACAGGCCGTGCTTTGGGGCAGTTTTGACCCGTAGCTGCTGGTTGAGATTGATAGGAGCAACAGCAGGCTGCGCTTAAACGTGAGCTTGAACGGAGCCAGGTGCTGGTACCTGCACAGCAAAATAATGGCTGATGGAATCACACTGGGCCGTAACTTTTAAAATTAGCGGCAGCAGTTGGTGTCCTGTGTACTTGGGGGGACCTGCCCCACTGTCCTGCGGGGGCCCGGGGTGTCAGGCTCCCCCAGGCCAGGAGCGACGCCTCCGACGGTGGGGGCAAGCGAGCCGTGGCTGCCGAGCTGCTCCCTCCACATTGGAAAGTTCTCGGTGAGTCACGGCCACGGATGCAGAAATATCCCGTCTGTTCCTGCTGCTCCATCCTAAACCTGGTGAAGTCAGTCGGAGCTTCCTTATTGATTCAAGGAGGGTTTGGATCATGCTCTAATTCTGTAATAAATAATTTGAGATAATCTGTCTCCCCTCTTGGGCTGAGGGAGTCAAGGAGGCAGCAGCCAGGGCTGTGAAAGATGGGATGGCTGGAGGCATGAGTAGTTACCAAAATTCTTGGTTTTGCCGGCTGTATTTTTTTTTTTCCAGCAAATGTTTTATCTTTCCCTCACTGCGATAAATCACTGCTTTGGAAGGAGCCGGTGAGGCCCCGGTCTCCTGAGCACAGCACACTCAGGAAAGGGCTTAACAGTGCCATGCCAGAGCTCAGAGCTGAATCACAGTCCATCACCCTGCGCCCGGGCGCGGGGCTGGGAGCAGCGGGGCACGTGCTTGCGGTGGGATCATCACTCCCTGCTGCATGTTCTCCCCCCGCCTCGGCACTCCCACAGCTGCCGGGGCGGGAGCGGGAGCGGGGAGGCTCCGCACGGTGCCGTGCCGGTGCTGCTCGGTCGTGCCTGTGGCACGATCGAGGCCTTGCGCTGGGCACGGGCTCCGTCATCCCTTGCATGAGTGTGAGAGCATGGGTGGGCAGTGGGGGCTGCGGGGGGGTGTGCGGCACCGAGGCGGCGGCCGGGCGGGTAGGGTCCCAGCTGGTGCTTGGGGTGAGGCTGCGATGGTGCTGGGGGGATGCGGTGGGGCTGCTCATCACCCTCCTGAATTTTGCTGGAGAAATGAGCTGGTGTCTCACAGGCTGTTAACTGCTGCGATGCTGGGAAGGGAAAACTTCCCGCAGCCGAGCTCATGCACCTTCCCCACGGAGGAAGGGCAGTGCTGCGGCGGGGGCTGAGGTCCCCCCCGCAGCCGAGGATCGCCGCTGCGGCCGCTCTCTCTGCCAGCGTGTCCTGCGCCGGGGGAGCGCTGGGAGCTGAGCCCCTGCACCCGGTACTTGTACGTGCAGCAGGTCCTGACTGATTCCAGGTGGCAGGGCCTCCCTGTGTCTCGTAATTTCTGTGCACTCGTTGTATCTGGCTTGAAAAACGGACAAGGGTTGCACTTTATTGTCCTGCTTTAGGAATGAACACGGTCAGTCGAAAGGGCCGGTTGTCCCGTGCTGCAGAAGATGCATTTAGCACTGGGCAGTGCTCTCTGCCCGTCGAGAAGTGCCTCGGCCTTGAACTTTCCTCCGCTAACAGGGGTTTAATACGTGTAACAACAGGGGAATTAAGTGGCGAGCTCCAGTCGCTCGTCTGGCTGAGTGTGCGTGGCAGATTATTAAAATGACCGACGTGAGTGCTGGGTGCACGCTCCGTCGCAGATGCTCTTTAAATCCATGTCAGTCACACAGGCGCAGCGCCTGCGTGGGAGCCGCTCGCACCACGTGAGCGTCAAAAGCCCATAGGCGAGAGCGGATAAATCTTGAATGAAGCCGCCGCAGACCTATGTAGAGACACCCACACTGGAAAACACAAATTAGTGGTTGACTCAATAGCTGGAGCCCAGGCAGGCGTTCCCAGACTGCTGTGCTAGGATAGCCTCTGTTTTAAATTGCAGCATTTAAATTCCAATTATCACTTTTACAATATGTGAATACTTAGTAGGTGTCGTCCTGTACTTCCTGCTCAAACGTGACCAGCGTTTGTCGGTGTGCGTCCCCCGTGGCTGTTGCTCGTCAGTTGTTTTCCTCTGGGACTTCCTTGTTAATATAAAAGGTAGGGAAACGCAGGGCGCTTCAGGGAGAAAGCTGAAGTTGAGAAATAGCTGCTTAGGCTTGTGTTGTTTTTAGGAAAGTACAAGAACTTTGGTTTTCATCAAACTTAATTAAATTCAGCATCGTTAAATGCAGGGAGCCTCCTTGTCCTCCCTGCTGTGTGGTATAGATTGGGACTGGCTCCGTGGCGTCATGCGGATCTGAAACAGCAAGAGGATTTGGCCAAGGCTGCTTGAAATACTGTATTTTAAGGCGATGGGGTACTTCTCCTTTCCTCCTTCGTTTCTCTCATTAGAAGAAAGTGCTCCATCATTTCTGGAGGACCACAAGCGTTGATCTGCCTGCCTCCCTCCCGGAGGACGCACAGCGTGCTGCCGTCCCTCTGGACCGTCCTCAGCTGGGGCTGGACACGGGGCGGTTTGCGGAGGACGCGGGGACCCAGAGCCATTCGTCAGCCGAGCTGTCCCGCTCGGACCTGTCCCGGTCTCCCCACTCCAGCGTCCCCCACAGGAGCATAAACGCAGCCTTTGCCAAGCCAGCAGTTCCTCCCTGCCAAACCTGGAGAGCTTTGCTTGGGTTTTGGTCTTTGGGGGGGATCCTGTCTAGATTAAAACATCATATTGTGGGCATTGTCAGCTGACCCCTAGGGCCCACAGGACCTGCCGAGCCATTTCTACACCTGACCTGCAACTCCTGCTTGGCTCCTGGTGCGTTTTAGGTAGACGGTCAGTCCTGGAGACTTCAGCTGAGGGTGAATCTGCCATGTCCCTAGGCCAGCTGTTGCCCTGGGAAAAGAAATGAACCCCTCAAACTTCCTTTGAACATAAGAAATAATCTCTGATAGTTAAGTCTCACGTAGCCAGGCAAGCTTGTTTTTCCTTATTTCTGCATGTTGTTAGTCGGGTTGTACACCTGCGGCTCACTTCAGCCCTCTTAGCTACAGCATCTCAGAGGGAGCTCCCGCGCGTGGTGGTCCACCACGACCCCAAGCCCCTCTGTGCTGCTGCGTGTCAGGGTATCACCTCCTATACCCAAACTGTAACTTGCTCTCCTGGTTCCTAACTGTAAAACCTCAGACTTGGCTGTATAAAAATGGCCATTGCTAAATGAGTCCACGGTACTGAGCTGCCCAAATTCGCCTGACCCACCTCCATCATTCATTAATATTGCAGTCAGTCTTTCCTCTGCCGTTTGCCTCTTCTGCCCACGATTATTTAATGTTTTCTTTAATACTCTCGATAAAGACATTGTTATAGCTCAACACTATTCTGGTAACAGGCGATCCTGTGTAGAAATATCCCATTGGATGACAATGTACAATCTCTGCAATCTGCCTCCCAGTCCCTTTAATAAAGTGCTGTTGATTCTGCATAATACTGGTCTTTTACTTTTTCAGGAGAGCTAAGTCAAATACCCTGTGGAACACTAAATGTATTATGCTACTGATTTCCTTTATCAACTGAATTTGTAACCATATCAGGAAAAATGTATGAAGTTTGATAAATCTCTTTTCTGCAAGGCTGTTTGACATTTATCTCATCCCCTGGTTCCCCCCTAGCCACTGCCCACCTTATCTAACCCACAGGCGATGCTGGGGACGCAGCTCCTACCATTGCCCATCACCATCACTCGTGGCATTAAACCAGCTTTTCCTGTCTTCTAGAAATTCAACAGAATGCCAAAGTTTATTAAAATCCATTTTAGATCTTCAGAAAACTTCTCAGCCTATTCTCTGAATGCTCTTGGGAGAAAGTTCTCTAGTCCTATGAGTTTCATGTTTACACTTAATAGTCTCTGTTTAGCATCCTCCCTAACTCCTGGCAGAATACAGGAGCCTATTTGTCTCCACGTACAGAACAGAAGTATCTGATGAATAAATAATTGTGTGTCACTTCTGCTTCATGACTGACAGTTGCACCGTCATGATCTGGTAGTGACTTACCTCGGCGGTAAAGCTCCTTTCTTCTCACGTGGCTAAAGAATGCCTCCTTGTTTTGTTTAAACCTTTCGGTTGCAGATTTACTTTAACTGATCCCATTAGCTTCTCTTATCAGCCAGGTGCGTGTCCTAACTGCTATTTCTAATATCAAAAGCCCTGATTTTTAATTTTTTTAATTGCAATTGTCAGTTCCCCTTTCAGCAGGTCCAACAGAAGTGTGGGGTGCCAGGGAAGCGCTCTGCCCTTGCTCCTGAGTAGCAATCGTGCTTCTGCATTTACGTTTTTCCCCCAATTGGTTTTGTCCGTGCTTGCTTTTGGCTCTGCTGAGCTGAGCTGATTCGCACCGAAGGCGTTAAATTGGGCTGG